TAAATTAGTTCAGCCATTGTGGAAGACAGTGTGGCAATTCCTCAAGGCTCTGGGACTAGAAATATCATTTGACCCAGCAATCCCATTACTGGTATAAACCCAAAGGATTATACATCATTTTACTATAAAGACATCATTTTTTTTAAAAGTAAAATACCTTTCTTCCTTGTTTTGTTAGATATCATAAATTTGGATGAAACTTGGAAGTATTAGTCCAGAAAATTTGCTTTTGAAATGAAAATCCTTTGTTCTTTAGGTACCAAACATTTCTTAGAGCGTTTTAGAAGTTAAGCATCCTATAGCATTTGGCATTAGCTGGGGTCTGATAATAGGAAGAGCAGGCAAAGGTGTCTGCAGCTGAGATTTGGGTAAGCAATCAAAAAGTGATTGGTGTTGTTTTTATTTCAGCTGTATTATTGTCTTCTGCTACCCTAATTTCCAATCTCAAAATTGATTGAGTTCATGGTAAATATTTTGGAATATGATTGTTAAGCTGTCTAGTGTTAGAAAATGGAGAAAGGCCATAAAAATGTTAAAGAAATGAGTGGTTATTTTCTTATATTAGTGGCTAAGAAAAGAATGAAAATAAACTCTTCCCAACCTCACATCTTTCACACCTGCTTTGGATGTCCCAGCACTAAAGCATCTGTGCCTGGAGGTGGGCTCTCTCTGTGTGTGTGTGTGTGTGTGTGTGTGTACAACTTGGGTATTCAGGGATGCACAACACAGAGGAGGGGCATTATTTTCTGAGTTTTATTTGAAATAGTTAATATAAGACAGCTTAAGAAACACAGCATGGCTGAACTTTTCCTTAAATGTTCCCAAAAGCAAACTAGTATTTTTTTTACTTGATATTATCAGAAACACAAAGTGTGAATTTTTTTGTGTAGTTGAGTGTCACCAGAGACCAGGATGAAGAGAATGAAGTTCCAGAGCCAACCTGGGCTGATGCTGTGCCTGCCACTACTTCATCTGAGGCCACCACTGCCCCCAGGCCACTGCTTAGCTCCCCTGTGGTTGGGGCAGAGGGTAGGTAAACCAGAACTCCAAGTCCCATTTTGATTCTACAGCCAAAAAATTTGGTGCACAAAGGTAAGAGAGATCTGCCAATCTGCCACTGTATCTACAATGAGAGGAAGGCACAGGGTTACCCAGAGAGAAAATGTTATGATTCTAAACAAAGTGGACAAAATATAGTTTCCATTGGACTATGTGTAGAATTTGAAATCTGGCTGGCAATGGAGTAAATTTGGTCTCTAAAGAATTTCAACACTCTTATAGTATTTATTATTTTAATTGGAATGCCTTTAGAGGGGATTGTGTTCTCCTGTTTGCCATAGTCCCTACTGCTCCCTACTGTCTTACATGTGCCCTTCACACATGTAGGCATTTGAATTTTTGACGCTTTTATTGCACAGGAATGAGAAACAACCTAAAATCTAGATTCTGATTCATTAACATATTTTCTATGAAGTTAATATCTATTAAAAATGTATTATTATATACATATATTCTGTAGAACATGAGAGACTTTTTTGTGCTCAAAGGAAGTTTAGATTAGCTTGAAAATGAATTACACAATATACATTATTTGGTTTTGTTTTTAAGGGCAGAGGTGGTAGAAATCTATGGCTCATTTCCATTAGGTCTAGGGAGTCTTCATAATAGAGGTATATTTAGATGGAAGTTTTAAAATATAAATGAACCAAGCCATACTCCAAATCTGGGGAAATGTTTAAGGAAGATAGAGAGAGGGCTGGTTTAGGTATTGCCAAATAAAGCTTATGACATATAAGTCCCAGACAGCAATTATCTATTTGGTTTTTTGTTTGTTTGTTTTTTGGCTTCTCCCACCTTGGAATCACTTCTTCAAGTAGGAAATACTAATCAAGGCACTCCAGAGTACCACACAATAATAAGGAATTTAGCAAATGAGGAGCTCCATAATTAAAGGAACCTCATTAGGACAATGTGTCTTTGTTGTTATAGCTCTCCTGTGCTTTTTTATAGTAGATATATTTCTACGATAAGACTATATGATATTAGAAAATCATACCATGTTTTTAGTGTCCTGCAAGAGCTGTTTTCTTCCTTTTTTTTTTCTTTTTTTGAAATGTAGTCTCACTCTGTCACCAGGCTGGAGTGCAGTGGCGCAATCTCAGCTCACTGCAGCCTCCGCCTCCCAGGTTCAAGGGATTCTCCTGCCTCAGTCTCCCAAGTAGCTGAGACTACAGGCATGCGCCACCACACCCAGCTAATTTTTGTATTTTTGTTAGAGACAGAGTTTCATTATGTTGGCCCGGATGGTCTCAATCTCTTGACCTCATGATCTCTTGGCCTCCTAAAGTGCTGGGCTGTGAGCCACTGCACCTGGCCTTAGAGCTGCTCTTTAAACAGATAATTGTAATACAAAGAGAGCCCCTCATTTTACTCTTTGGTTTTTTTTTTTTTTTTTTTTTTGGTAACTTAAGGAGTTTTTCTTTCATAGTGGGCAATTGCATATGATCGTGGTGGTTCTTTCTGTGAACAGACTGGGAGGAAACGTGAACAGGAAATGGAAATAATTTTTATTCCAAATATTAATTTGATTGTAAATCAAACCTAATGTAAGTGAAAGAAGTCCTGTCTTTCTCCTGTTAACTAATACCCACAAAAGTATTAGCCAGTGAAGTCTCACTTAGGCTTTCAGGGAAATAAGCATTTTTAATACGATTTCATGAAGACCAAAAACTTTCATGTTTTCAAAAGAATTAATATCTAGTGGTAGAGTTTCAGGTGGTGAGGGAAATGTTTTGGGTTTTAGGAAATCCTTCTTTCACTTACTTAGAACAGATTTTCTTGGTTGGTCCACTAGCGGGCATGAAGAAGAAATAGTTTATTTATATAACTTTATAAGGTGTTTATTTTTTATATCTTCAATATAAGAAAAATCTGTAATACGTTATCCTTTTCTTATTCTAGATCCTAGATGTTTGGAAGCCTTGAAGCCTGGAAACTGTGGTGAATATGTGGTTCGATGGTATTATGACAAACAGGTCAACTCTTGTGCCCGATTTTGGTTCAGTGGCTGCAATGGCTCAGGAAACAGATTCAACAGTGAAAAGGAATGTCAAGAAACCTGCATTCAAGGATGAGCAAGTAAACTGGCTTGTCTCTATCAAAAGCCTAGAACTCCCTAATTTCTGCATGTTCACCCAGTACAAATACAGCACTATAGTTGAGTGTATACTGAGTATTTCAACTTATCAATGTAATTGAATTCTCACTACAGCACTAGGATGTAGGTATTATTAACCACTTACATAGATAAGGAAGCTGAGGCTCTGAGAAGTTTAGTAACTTGTCGACTGTCACCCACCTAAAAAGTGTCAGAGCTGAGGATTTAGACTTAGAGCTGTGAAACTGTAATACACAGGCTCTATCTACTTCACAGCCTGCAATGTGATTCTGATTCCTTTCATTCCTGCTGTATGTACTATGTCAGCTCAAACCCCTACTGCTGCCCCTGCCCATACCCTACCCACTCACCTCCCCAACCTCCTTATGTCCCACCTACCCCAGTAGCAAGAGGTAGGTGATAGGAAGTACTTTGGTGTGGAAATTAGAAATGATGGGAATGTTTATGAAGGAGTGCTGGGATAGGAGTGGGGAGGGTGAGGGTAGTTACATTTTTTCCTCATTTGCTCTGAAAGCGGTAATAGGGAAAAATCAATCTGAATTAAAATTAAATAACTTAAATGTTTCACAAACTGTCACTTTGTATTCTTCCAACATGTTTGGTAACAAAGTGTTTAATGTATGTTTAAACAAAGAAGCTTTTTACACCCTTCCATTAAAATACATACATCTGGGGTTTCCCTTCCATTTTATGGGAGTGGAATGGGAAGGCCGTTGACAATTAAAAACCACTTGAAGTTGACATCCACTCTGGAGCAAGGTGTATTAAAGACAGGACTCACACTGAAAGGTGAGCCACCAAATTGAAACATGAGTAATGGAGAATAACGAAGAATTGGCTCTGTCGTTTTATATAATACTTTTGCAACATCCCGTCTGGGAAGATCATTAGTTCTGAGCTGAGCTCAGACAGCAGCACTTGCATATTTCATCTCACAAAACACTTTCTCCTTCTATCGGGTCTACCCTCATTCAATTCAACAGTGTAAAAAAATGCCCTCAAGGAAGGAGATGGAAGAATAGCCATCTTGGCAGAAATAATATAATTTTATTTAGTTAATTAAAACTGTATTATATAATGTTTGATACTACAAAAGAAGATATGCAACATACTCATCAATTTAAAAACACAATAAGTTGAACACCAGTGAACACATCACCTAGAGAATGAAACAAACATCACAAATTCCATTGAAGCTCCCTGTGTGGCCCTCCACCATCCCAGCCCCTGTTCCATGCCAGGAATATCCCATTTTGAACTTTTTGTTTACCATGTCAATGTGCTGTTGACTTTTATAGGTAATTTTACATGTAAAACTCCACATGTCTCTATGTGTCTCTAAACAATAAATGTTTAACCTTGCTTATTTTAGAGTTTTACAGGTATGGTGTCGGTGTCATATACTAGTCTTCTGCAACTTACTATTTTCATTCAGTGTTATAACTAATTCATATATTTTATGACATATAAATATATTTCTAAATAATTTATTATTTAGTTTTTTGAGCTTTAGAAAATATGCATCATAATATGTAATTTTCTACACCTCACTAGATTTTTTTTTTTCATTTTAAACAAGAAGTTTATTTAAACAACGAGACGCTTGACTTGAAGGGAAAACTAGGATTCTTTTCTGTTGTTGTTTTAGAGTAATTTATCCCTACTTAAAGACAGATTGCCCTACAGGTAACAGCTACGTACAAAAAAGTTATAAAATTGTCCTTGGTTTTACAATGATAAATGAAAAACATTAAAAGTCTCCAATCAAACAAGGTATGCAAGGATTTTTATTTTATTATTTATTTATTTATTTATTTTTTTGTTAAAACAGTGAGAGCAAAATAATTTACTGGAATATAAAGATAAGAGCTGAATGAGCATGCCACTAATGGAGAAAGGGGGTACTTTCACAGAATCAGTATTTTTCCCCATCCCGTCTCCACTTGATGTCAATCAAAACATACCATTGGCTGTTAAAAAGAAAAAAAGCAATATGCTTGTACACATATACCAGTTACTTTATGTACAATAAAGGAATGGGGAAGGGGAAAATGAAAGAATAGAGAAAACTATACTGTAGTAGCCAGGATGTGGTGGAACCAAATTGCAGTTTTCTAATTGAGAATGTAATCTTGGTCTTTAAAGAACAGAGTTCTGAAGTAAAGAAGCAGCTTCTCTTTTCAGTAGACACCTCCCGTCTGCTGTTGGAACACATCAGTTGTATCTTCATCCTCCATTTCCAACTGTGCAGGTATGTCTGTTTCATTGATTGGTTGCCCGTCAAATCAGGATCTGATCTGCCTCATTGACAATCCCTGTCGTTCATTAGTTTATTAGGCTTTCATTAGTTTGCTAAGTGGTGTATGCCTCTTAATCTTAAACTGCACCACAGAACCATCCTGCCCCACCACTTTCAAATTAATATAATAATTGTTCTCAGTCTTGACTCCTTCCTTGGGCTTTTTGTCAGCCATGGTGAGTGCTGGAGTCTCCTCAGCTGCCGCTTCACAAAAGCGGTACCAGGTCTGCACCGAACAAGCACACCAGCAGCACCAGCAACTCACTAGATTATTTTATTATAATTTTTACATTTTCATTTACTTCCACAGTTGTATATTTGTGTGAGTATACCACTATATATATATATATACATATATATATATATATGTGTATATATATATATATATATATATATATATATAATCGTAAGTTCTTCTATTTTATTTTCATCAGTATTCCAACACTGTTGCTGTGAATGCTCTTATTCATGTCTCTGGGCACACATACACCAGTGTTTTTCTGAGGTATAGTCTCCAAATTAGGATTGCTGGGTTACAGAGTATGTAAACATTCAAAACCAGTATATCATATCCATTTTATTCCTGAAGTGTCTGAACCAATTTATTATAAATTTCTGTCAGTTGCATATAAAATTCCCATTGCTTGATATTCTCATCAACACTTAGGGTTATCAGATGTCTTTATTTTGCTAGTAAAGGTGTAAAATGGTATATTGTTTTATTTTATTTTATTTTATATTTATTTTTGAGGTGGAGTCTTGCTCTGTTGCCCAGGCTAGAGTGCAGTGGTGCTATCTCAGCTCACTGCAGCCTTCACCTCCCAGACTCAAGTGATCCTCCCACCTCAGCCTCCTGAATAGCTTGGACTACAGCCACCTGAGATGGAGCTTTGCCATGTTGTTCAGGCTGGCCTCAAACTCCTGGCCTCAAGTGATCCATGACAGCCTCCCAAAGTATTAGGATTATAGGTGTGAGCCATTGCATCTGGCCAGTATATTGTTCCTATTTACCTTTCTCTGATGACACCTTATCATGTTTACCTACCCTCTGTGCTGCTGCTTCTGTGAATTACCTGCTTATAATTAGGAAAGATTGTCTTTGTTAGATTTTTTGTCTTTTCCTTATTGAATTTTTGAAATTCCTATATATCTGAAATCTAATTCTTTGCTAATTATTTGTGTTGCTAATATCTTCAAAGCTTGTCTTTTTACTTGTTTATTTTTGTTTTAACAAACTCAATTTTATTGCAGTCCAATTTACCCGCATTTCCTTTTGTGGCTGGCACTTTTGTTCCTTCTTTATGCCACTCAGCCTCTCAGCCTCTCAGCCATCTTTCTCAGGTGAGAAACTTCCCTAGGAAAAAAAATGACTCTGAGTGCTGGCTCCACCTCAATAGATAATCATCTTTGTGCCAGGTAACTTCTTAGCAGCCCTTAACCTCTTTGGTGTCAGAGGCGTCCAAACCAGAGTAACTCCACCTTGAATAAAGACTGCATAAAGCCAAACCTGCTGGGTTACATTCCCAGGAAGTTAGGTACTCTTGGTCACAAGATGTTTATGGTTAAGGAAACAAGTTAATAATGCTAACTAATTAAGTAAGACTCAGAACTTATGCAAGTGTCCCAATAAAGAAAAAGCATCCTTAGTTTAAGAGTTTCACTTTAAAAATAATAATATACTCACAGATTCTTGCTGAAATTAATAGTTGCAGAAGAGAATAACAATGCTAATAGCCTGTCACAAGCTGATCACGAGCTTTTATAATAAAGCACATTATATTTAGCTCTAACACCCTATATAAGCAAATATTATGTTTTAGGTAGGGGCGTTCCTCCTCTTGCTTTTTGAGGACACCCTACTCTGTAATACAAGTAGTGCCCAATAAACTATCTTATTTTCACTATGCTTTGCTACTTGCCCTGAATTCTTTATGGCATGCCATCTATGAACCTGCTCTTGGGGATCTGGGTTGAGACCCTTTTCTAGTAACATCAGTGATTTCTAGGTGCTTAAAAAATTTTTTTGGGGCCGGGCGCGGTGGCTCACGCGCCTGTAATCCTGGCACTTTGGGAGGCCGAGGTGGGCAGATCAGTTGAGGCCAGAAGTTTCAGACCAGCCTGGGAACATGGCAAAACTGTGTCTCTACACAAAATTTTAAAAATTAGCCAGGCCTCATGGTGGGTACGTGTAGTCCCAGCTACTTGGGAGGCTGAAGTGGGAAGATCACTTGAGTCCAGGATGTCAAGGCTGCAGTCAGAGTGAGACCAAGACCCCATCTCTGAAAAATAAAAAGTTTTTTTGCTTTATCTTCTTTAGTTGTCCTTAGCATGAAAATGAGTATAAGATATAGAAATAGACTTTCCTATATTGTAAGTAAAATTTTGATGCTACAAAAGAAATAGCACTCTAAGATATGCCCTCTCAGCAACGCAATTTATTCTATAGAAGGGTGCAGGGTGCAAGGACAGAGCAATGATGGTCACCACAGCTTGGACAAGGTGGGAAGGGGCACTTTTGCCTGACGGAGGTCATCCCTATTGCTGTGTCATCCCCTATTGGCTAGGGTTAGACCGCACAAGCTAGACTAATTCTGATTCGCTTTTTTTTTTAAGTAGGGGTCAGGGCTGGAGTGACAGGGTGGGTGTTTTGGTGGGATGGACGGTGATGGGTGTGTCAGAGCAGGTAGATCAGGTAGCCAGGGGGATGAGTCAGGATGGGACGGTGTGGGAGATTAGGGGGTTAGATGTGAAGTACTGATTAGAACCAGAGGAGAAGGTTGTTTACTACAATTACAAGGTACTAAACTTTGAAATAGAGAATTACAGAATAAGAGAGCTGAACATACTGACATACTGATTTTTTGAAGAGAAACCTCGGATTCACTATAACCGTATCTTTTGTTGTGGGATGGAGAGCTATGGGTATTTTCTGGAAGCCCACATTGCATTAAAAAGTAGCTATCAGTCACCATATTGTTGTTGGAAAGTAGAAGGACCCTTTAGAATGTCTAGGCTGTTATTTTGACAGGAGCAAAAGTACTTACATTTCTTGTTCAAGCTTTTCACAACTTTGCCCACATAGACAACTGATATGCAAACATGTTGTAATGTTGACTTTGGTGCTTGTCCCTTTGTCTGCAATGTCCTTCTCCTGCCTCCCTGACTGACCACATCAATGCTGCAAGGACAAACTGAAGGCCTCTTCCTTTGCAGTACCTTCTCATCTCTATCAACTGAGCAGCAACCAATATAAGTAGCTGAGACACAGGTCTCAATGATCGAGGTTTCTTAAGCCAGCTTTAGAGAAAATCCAGGAAAATCACCCATCCAAAGAGGCTTTCAGAAGGTTTAGTATTTATACATATCTGTGAAGTGGGGAAGGCACGTAGGAAGAGGGGCAGCTAGGCAGTAAGACAAATAGTTATATTCCCGTGTGTCTTTCATTAGTGCCTAGTAAATCTATATTTTACACAAGACAAGGTGAAGGTCTAAAGAGAAAAAGGGAGTAAAGCAAGAGCCAATCACGGAGATGTCTCTGGGCAGGTGGAGGAAAGATTGATCTCTTGTCTTCATTCTGCACCTGGGAAGATAAACTTGTAATCAACATTATCAGTGTGGAACTGAACAGACTTTAGTTTTAGGAGCTAAATTTGGATTGTAGACCTATAGTTATGATTGGCATGTCCTTGTTTGTGGGAGGCCAGGAAAGAATTTACCTATGACTGATCTGTCGGGGGCAGTCCTTTCCAGATGCCTAACGCCTTTTACCTTTCCATGGGGATCTGGCTGATGCACAATATTAGTAACAGCGATTCATTTGGAAGAGAGTAGTGCAATGACTCAGCCCCCAGGCTTAACCTTTCCTTTTGCATAAGATTTTGGGGAGGTCCTGAGATTTTTTTCCTTTCGCTTACATGGTCCACTCACTCCCAACACTGAGGACCCAAAGCACTTGGCTTATGTTTCCATTCTGCACACTGATGTCAGGCTGAGCTACTTTGCTCTTAGTTGAGGCACATCAGCATTAATTTCCTTTTGCTGCTGTAACAGATTTGGTGGCTTAAACAACAACAATGTGTTATGTTGTAATTCTGTAGGTCAAACGTGTGATGCAGGTTTCAATGAGCTAAAATCAAGGTGTCCATAGGGCTGTGTTCCTTCTGGAGGATCTGAGGGAGAATTCATTTCCTTGTCTTTTCCAATAACTAAAGGCCACCCACATTCCTTGGCTCATAGTTCCTCTATTTTTAAAGCCAGTAACGGCAGGTTGAGTCCTTCACCTTCTGCCATCCTTCTGGTTTTCTGAGTAAAGCTGGGCAAGATGTTCTGCTTTTGAGGACTCATGTGATTAGATTGGGCCCACCTGAATAATCCAGGATAATCTTGCCACCTCAAAGTCCTTAAGTTTAGTTACATCTACAGAGTCCCTTTTGCCATGTAGGGTAGCATATATACAGGGGGGATTAGGGAGCAGACATCTTTGGGGCCTTTATTTCATGTACCACAGCAGCCGTGTCCTCTGCCTGCTGTCTGAGCTACTTATGAGCAAAGACATGCCTTGTTTGTCTTTGTGTCCCTAGTTCCTTAAGTGTAAGATGAACTCAATAAATTTTTAAAAAACCAAATTGAGCATATTTTATAAAAGTCATTACAGGAATAATTAGCTACTTGCAAGAGGGAATAGAAAAAGATCAGAAAACAAAATAAAACAAAACAAACCCACACTAGTTTAAAAGCAGACTAAGAGAGGAGGGATATATCAGTGAGTGAGGGGTTGTCCAGTCCAAGGTTTTATCATGCAAATGAAGTCTCCAGGTAGCTGGCCTCGGAGAGAATAAATTGTAAATGTTTCCTATCAGACTTAAAGAGTGTGTTCTATCAGTGACTCCAAAAGGGAACAGAGTAGAATGAAGTAAGTATGGCTTTCCCTTCCCATCATGGCCTGAACTGGTTTGGAATGCCGCTGACTGAGAGGAGTCCATTCAGATGATAGAGGAGGGCCTTGGAATTTTATTTTTGGTTTATAGCCCCAAGTCATAATTCACACATATATGTATGATATTTTGTTTTTTAATTTTTAAAATATTGGACTGATTTCATTTCTGTATGCACTCATTTATCATTTTACATAAATTAGTAATTTTTGCAAAAACCTTTCATTTAAATGAACTAATT